GTCAGTCCAGAACAATGGCAATTCAAATTGGACGCCATATTTGCATTCGGTGTATAGATGAGGTCAAAATGCGGTAAAAACAAAAACAAAAAAAAGGCAAATAAGGCACTGGGGAGTGAGTCTCTGATGTTCTTATGTCCAGCATATTTCTGTCAGCACAAAATATGATGTCACTGTAAATCCTCTAATAGGTCCCGTATATGGAAATTACGGAGCTATGTTAAAAGTACAACATGGTTAAACAAGGTCCATTGAGAGAGTTAGATCAAAAATTGAATTTTTTATTGAGTTCTAAATTGAAAAGCCCTCCCCCGCTTCTATTAGGCCCCCCTCTCTAATAAGCCACCCCTCCAAAGTACCCCTCCAAAGCCCCCTGGGGGCTTAGTAGAGGATTTACAGTATGTTTCTTTAATATGTATCCATCTGTTTTTTTTTGTTGTTGTTGTCTCTGCCTTAGGTTGTTTCAGCTGTATCCTTTCTTCATAGCCATAGCATACTTCATAGGGATGTGAAGGTTAGTTTCTTAATGGAGTAAGTGCTTTGATGCCCCTACAAAGGTGACAGGACAACTGTCACAGAAAACTTTAAATCTGAGCCGTACCTAAATTTCTAGTTTTTTGTGGCGAAACAATCATAGGCTCGTTTGGCAGTTATATTAAATTTAATCCCTTTTAACTAACCTTAATTGCAGGATGAAAATATCATCTTGGATGACAAATTCCATGTCAAGTTGATTGACTTTGGGTCAGCAGCATACATGGAAGAAGGGAAAAAGTTTTGTACATTTTGTGGCACAATGGAGTACTGTTCACCAGAGGTTCTGATGGGAAACAAGTAAGTGACTTCCTGTAATATTTTGTTTTTGTGAACCACACTCCCTTTTCATCTTTTTCCATCTGCATCATTGCCTTTAACGTGTTTGTTCGCTAATGGGTTATGACCTTGTATAATTCTACACATGGTGAAAGCAGCTTATCATATAAATAAAATGAAAAAAATACTTTAAATATTTACCCACGTATCACCTAAGAGCTAATAGCTTGTTTGAAAAGTGAACGGGAAACTAATTGCAAATAATGAGCTAATAAGAACTAATATTAAAAGATAAAAGTATTGAAAAGCTATATTTTATCTAATTATATATACTATATAATTATTAAGCGAAAGTGCATTAAAAATTGAGTTAAAGCCTTGCCATAAACAAATGCAACACGCGCCTAAAAGCTGCCAAGTCCAGACATTCCCTGACTTATGACCAGATTTATAATCTGCGGTGTTAAACAAAGATGTCCAGCCTTGAGGAAAGCTGTGAGAAGATTGTGTGCAACTACAATTACAATTTTTTTAAGTGTGTTTTATTTTGCTAATGTGCCACTGACACATCACTCATTTTTCACACCTCTCTGTCATATTGATGAACGAATGGCAAAGTGTTCACCAGTAATAAAGTCAACTTTTCTTGTCAATGAAGGCCAATGGTGTTTTTATAATGAACAGAATAGTGCATGGTTGTTTGTAGATATAGAATTTCTCTTCTCATGTTCCAACTCAAATAGAAATTTCATATCTAAGTGCACCCATGTATTACTAGTATTCTCTATTTAATTTTTTTTAGCAATTGTCATGTCATAACATTGATCAAAATCTTTCGTATCTTGTAGATATGCAGGACCAGATTTAGAACTGTGGTCAATGGGTGTCACATTGTACACTCTAGTGTTTGGTGAGAATCCATTTTATGATGTCGAGGAAACCATACGAGCAGAGCTACATCCTCCATTTCTTGTCTCAAATGGTAAGAAAAAAAATATTTCCCAGAACCTTTGAACTCTCAAGATCTGGGCCCGGTTGTTCAAAGGGAGGACAACACTATCCAACAGATAAATCGCTATCCCATGGATAAGTGATAGAAAAACGTATTGCGTTATCCACCAGATGAAGTTTTATCCAGTGGATAGTGCTAGCTATCCAACCTTCGAACAACCAGGGCCTGATTGTTAATTCTCCCCTCTAGCTACTACACATTATCTGGTCAGTTAGTTTCAAGAATTTGGTGTTAGATCAAGACAAATTTTATATGATAAGTTTGAGTTTTCTCTTCATCAATTTCTTGGGTAATGCAGGGCTGTGGTCTAGCAGCGCATGGTGGCCCCTGGCATCTTACTTTTGCTCTGGGATGACTCGGCAATCTTAGTTTTTTTCATATGAAGCACATGCCGGGCATCCTGGATTTCACAGTTTCAGAGGACTGGGCTCCCTTCTATTTTTCTCAGAGCACAGCCTTGTAATTTGCAGATGTGTAGGGAGAACACTTTCAACTTATAATCTCTAAGTTGGCTGCGTGATTGTAGTTTGCATGAGCTACAGCATTCCAATGGCTGGTGGAGGGCTAATGTCAGAGTGTTACAGTGAAGATAAGAGCAGGCCCTAAGAGTGCCACAAATCTAATTGAGTCCTAACTAATACTGTGGTTATCTTGTTTACCTAACAGATCTTTTGTTTATTATCTGTTGGCTCCTACACCCTGATCCCCGCTGGCGGGCCACAATCACAGACTTGTAAGAAAATGAATGGATAAATCAGCCTGTGAACATCGCAAATTACTCCTTTGATGCTGTTATGGGTCAGTTTATCTTTTGATAACAGTACAGACCAGAAGAAGATTTGTTTTCAGGGCTGGACGCTAACTTCTCAACTTACTAGCCAAGTGGCTAGTGACATCTTAGATGTTTTTAGATGTTACGTACGGCAATATTTCAGTTTGTTTAATAGCCAAACTGGCCAGTGGAAATGGAAAACCACTAGCCAAAACTAAATTTCTACTAGTCCGTGGCTAGTGGGCTACCATTAGGGTCAAGCCCTGTGTTTTGCTTCAGTATCTCAGGATTGTTAGTAGAAGTGGGTAGGTGGGGTAAACTTGAGGTAGCTGGCACTTAATGAGAACCCTGAAAATGGTAGCAGAGGTTATGTTTAGAAGGTTGTAGGTGTCGGAAACTCAAGGTAGCCAGTTTTTTAGGTGGCAGGTAGCACTTTACGACAACCCTTTAAACCATGGCAGCACTTAATGAGAAACTAAAGATCGTGGCAGGTTGGAGCAGATCTGTACATGGTTACACTGAAGGGAATTAAAAGTTTTTCTCTTCATTTCTTTCTTTTTTCAGCTGATCAAGTGGATGGTACACAACACCTTTTACAGTTACCACCAAGCGCATTGAATAACAGCCCTAGTGGTTCAGACAGCTCGCAAGATGACATTGATTATGGTCAGCATGACAACCCACAGCTGTCTGCCCTTCAGGAATATCTCAGTTTGGTCGATAATGAGGACAATGGGGGTGACTCGTGATGTACATTTAAGGAATCTCCAATAAGTATTTAAAAGAGATAACTCCATGGTACCTTGAAGGGCAAGCTTTGTTTACATGGAAAGTTTAACAATGAGGCACATATTTGCTGTGAAAAAATGTTTTTTTAAAATTGGGACAAATTTAGATAAATGATGCTTACATTGTTCTTGTTGGTCAGAAACTTGTAATTTTAAAGTTGATGATAATGAATTGCTTTTCAAATTTTATCTTTTTTTTTTTTTTTTTTTTAAAGCAGTCTGAAATTTGTTGAGCTTCACTTTAGATGCTCCATTCAGGCATAACGCTTCCACTCTCAACAATGACCAACATGTACTTTCTCCTCACAACATCAAGTAAACAAGTGACAAGAGTAAAGAAAATTATCAGTCAGGTAAATATCATTTGATCCAATGCTAAATTCTCCAAACTAAAATTAGAAGCTATGTGTGGAAGGCAGTATAATTTATATGGAGAATTATTAAAGAGAACTTGGGAATAAAAGTGTTTTGATGGAATGTTTTTTTTTTTTTTCATGAATTGAATGTCCAAGTGTAAATTATGAGTATGTTAACACTTAAAATGTGCAAGCAAAGATTGCCCCTCTAGGGGTGCAGAGAAAATTATCATATAACATTTAAAATTAATTAATGATAATTATAACAGTGATGTCTGGGAATGCAACTTCAAGTCTTAAATATTAAGTATCTTCAATCTGTTGTCATTCAGTTCATACAATTTATTAATTCTTAGTGTAACTTTTATTTTGACAGTGGAAAATGCTGGTTTTTAAATGGTAATTTTTAAGTGGCCTTTTTGGTTCAGTGAAATGAATATTTCAAGAGTGAAGTGTGGAAGTTTCGAGATTATCTAATTATTTGAATTAATTGTAATATTTTCTGTTACTTGAAGTATTTTGGCATTGATGAAATTATGTTAAGATTTGATCAAAAAACTTGGATTTTGAATTCTTATTTCCTGGAAGGAATATTTTGCTTTTAATTATTAGTTCTAGTGATTTTATAGTGGTGCCTGAGAACAGGTTTATTTTAAGTTTTAACAGAAAAGGTTACTGTGAAACTGGGCAAATGTTGTAAAACCAGAAATGTTTAACAGAGTATTATTGCATCTCAAGGTAGAGACCATTCAGGTGTCTGAAAACCATGCAGGAAACAACAAGGATAATTATTATTCTATTTAGAAAAGTTGCTTACTTTGTATCATGTGAAATATGTTTGACTGGTTGGCCAGGCTAATGTGTGATAAAGAAATTAAGACAACTTGGCTTTTTCTTTCCTTATCATTCATTCACTTGTTTTTATCTTTCCTTTTCTCTTTCTCATGATTTTTTGCCAGCTCTCAATTTCAACCTTCTCTTGCAAAACACACTGATTATAGTGTTATTTTCCCCATAAAAAAAGGTCCATTTTACAGTTGCATGCTTGGCTGCCAAGCCTTTAAACAGGAGTGAGGCTAAAGGTGACCTTTTTATGATACAGATGTTGCTGCTTTTCAAATGTAAATCATTTTGTTATCATGCTAACTAGATACAGGTCTCTATCATGACAAGGTCACCTTCAGCCTCACTCCAAATCGAAGGCTTGGCGACTAAGCACACTACTGTAAAATGGCCTATTCATGCACCTTTGCCTGGGCAATATTCAACATTAACAGGATAAAATGATGAGCTGTGCCTGACCTTTTTATTTTTTTTTTTTACAATCTTCCAATTACGATACAGTTTTCATGAGGAATACACTTATTTGTCTTTACTCAACAAGTGAACTTCACACCATCCACAGAAAACTATTTTTTATCAAAACTTTAATCATATATAATTATTGTAAATATAAAGTGTGGTCTGTATATTGGAATTGTACATTATGGTCAAGACAAATAGTACCTCAGCATTACATGGTAGAATATTATTAGTAATGTTATGGTTAAATAGTATGGCCTTTGGTTTAATTTAACATTGTTACTGCCCTATGCACAGGTCACTGAATTCAAAGAGTCACTCATGTGTCATTTCATGGGCTTCAGCTTTGAACAGCCCTCCTAGGGCTGTTGAAATGTCAGGCTTTATCACTCTCAGTAGTCCCATGGTCAGACAACAAGATCAAGTATTATTCATTGCAGTGTAGGTTGTGACTTGTGACTTGCCTGAAGTCAGGAACACACTTTTATACCCCATTTAGACCAAAACTTAACCATGTTTCAAAGCTGTTTCATTGAATACAGTTTAAATTTCTTGTATTCATAGAAGCTGCCTATACCGATCTTTTTTCACTTCAAATTTAGCACATTGAAAATACAAGTTAGTGTACTTGAACACTGTTGCTAATTTTCTTTCAGTGAAACCTGGTTTAACTAAACATGTTTTGCTGGTGGGAATGGGGTATTAATAGTAAAGAACTCATTAAATTAAGAGCATTTAAATAATTTAAGGCAGGAATTTGAGAACATTTAACATACCCTGCATGTTTATCGGTAATATTTTCAGTTAGTGAATCATTTTCTGAAGTTGACTTTTGTTCTAAGGTCACAGTAGTGATTTGAACTTTGATTAAGTTATTGATCATAGAAAGTAAAAAAGTCTTTAATGTCTTTGTGTTTAATTTATCATTGTATTTACTCAAGAGATGTGAAAGTGCTTTATGATTGTGTGTTGTAAAACCAAAACCAAATTAATCAGAACAAATTTCTGGGGGGGGAGGAAGGGATAATCTGTGATGGACTAGCATTCCATCCAGGGGGGGAGTACCCATATTCTTTGTTGTATCATGTTATGGAGACCAAGACAAGCTTTGTGGCCTTATGGGTCACTCTGCTTTCATGCTGTCTTAATTTATTTATTTATTTATTACTAAAACAGATATCTGTCATTAAAGTTGGCAAGTGACCTGAATTCAGTTACAAAAAAAAAAATACTCCCAATATTTTTTTTCAAAAAATAGTGCCCAGTCCATTTGACAAAATGTCAGACACAAAAGCTAAACTTTACTTGAAGTTCTCATGCAATCAGTCAAACCCCCAATATGTTGAATTTCGCTTGTTTCACATGTACATACCTAATAACTGTCAAAATTATCATCTGAAAGTGTTACTTCACATGTCAACGACAAAACTGTTTTGAAATCAACTCTATCTCATCCAGGGGTATCTATTAAATCTGTCTGTGTTCTGTTTCATTTAAAAATTTGTACATATTTTACAATAATTAAAAATCAAAAGTTTTTGTTAAACCTGTGTGTTATTTCTCAGGTGAAAGACAATTTACAAGGTTAGAGGTGTGACACATCACCTATGACTTGTTAGTACTTCATGAATGACTTGATTACAATTATTTTGTTTTAGTGACAAACTTGGGAAGTGCATTTGAGCTTTTTTCAATATATTGTACTTTGACTAAAGGAGGACCACTTATTGGAGGGGGGGGGCACTTGTTAGAAGGAGGGAGCTTAATCCAGGGGGGGCACTTTTCAAAAAAACTATTCTGTACTGATTCAGCTGTAGTTGAAGCTTAAAAATTTATAAATTGAAAAAGTGGCAATAGAAATAGGTTTTTCTTGTATCCCTACAATTTGAAAAAGAGATGTGTGTGTATGTGTGAGTGTGTGTGTGTGTGCGTGTGCGTGTGCGTGCGTGCGTGTGTGTGTGTGGTGGTGGGGTTGCTTATTTGATATATTGGGCCTAAGGTGTGGGTGCTTAATCAGGGGATGACACTTAGAAGAGCACGAGTGCTTCTTTAAGGAAATACAGTGAACCTTCAATTAGACATTGGTATCTTCATATGAGAAGTCACCATTAGCTTCTCTATAATGAACAACATAAGAAGGCAGAATGTGATGAGAGTTGAAAATGACCAGTTCTTTACCATCAGGGGAGGTGTGAGAGTCATGACCCATCTCCAGGGGTTCCCCGTGGATCAATTTGGTACATCCATAAACTTTTCCAGGGAGCACTTGGCAGAGAAGAAGCTTTGATGCACCTCGGATGTACTTCATTGAATAGGATGGATACTCGCTGAAGTAAACACCACGGCCATAATTTCCTAGAGAAAAAAAAAAAGGAAAATTTCAGCTTCACTTATGCTTTATCAAAATTGTTGAAAGTTAAAGTTTTAGCAAGGGTTGACAAGTCTGTTCCTCAAAATTTCCATACCTTGGGGTGGGAAATGATGATTTTGACAGTTATAGTGATATTGGAGGAAGCTTAAGCTTGTAACAGAGGGAGATTATTAAATTGGAGAGCTTATCAGAGAGGGCCTTTTAATATAGAGGAGGCTCAAAAAGAGAAGGCTTTATTTTAGAAGGGGGCTTTATAGAGAAAGGACATGTTAAATTGAGGACTGGAAATGACAGAATTGCAAACTGGGATTATTGGAAAGGAGGGCTTTTCATGTTTCAGAGTAGGAGCTAATGGAGAAAAGGGTTATTGGAGAGGGGACTTATTGGAGAGGGGACATTGGAGAAGGGGCTTATTGGAGAGGGGGCTTATTGGAGAGGTGTCTTTTTAAAGAGGGGGCCTATTAGAGAGGGGGCTTACTGGAGAGGGGACTTATTAAAGAGGGGGCTTATTAGGGTTAGGGCTTATTACAAAGGAGGCTTATTAAAGAGGGAGCTCATTTGAAAAGTGGCCTATTTGAGAGGGGGCTTATTAGAGAGGGGGCTTATTGGAGAAGGACCTTATTGGAGAGGGGGTTTATTGAAGGGGGGCTTAATTATTAATTGTAACTCACAATTATTACCTGTATCAGTTGCATGCTCAAAGTTTGCCTCTCCAGGAACTCTGAATCCTGTATCACAAATAGAATGAATGTTTGTCTCTTTTGTTCCATGGAAAGCTAATACAGGGTAAGACATCTTTTCTCCTCGTACTTCCTTCAGCTTCTGTCTGGCTTTCTGGAATCTTCTGATCATAACTGGATTCACCACATATTCCACTTTAGTAACACGATACCTATCCATTGTATCAACAAGCCTATAGAACTGAGATTCTGTGAGATTAAAAAAGAAAAAAGAGAATAAAAATTCTGGAGTAAACCTTAGGTATTGAAACTTGATAGGAAAGGTTAGGTTTAACAGTGAGTTAAAGCAAATTGATGTACACAGATGTGCAGATCCAGATAACCTCCTGGTTAGCTCAATGGATAGAGCGCCGGACTGTTGTGCGGGAGGTCGAGGGTTCGAGCCCCACCCGGACCAACACTCAAGGTCTTAAAATAATTGAGAAGAATATGCTACCTTTCTATAACATCAAGAAATGGTTAGATATTCTAGTCTTCGTGGATAGAGACGAATAAAATGGAGATCCTGTCTCCTGCAGGGTTGGGGTAGGAGATGTTAATTTTCCACACACGAGATTACTGTGTGATGGATGTCCTCCCCTGGGGTGGGATGGGTGGGTTAGTACATTAATTGTAAAGCGCTGTTGATCTGTCATTGTAAATAGCGCTCTATCAAAAAAAAATTATCATTATTATTGTTATTATTAATTATTATTATTATTAAACATGTGGGACTAAAGGAATTGTTGATAGTCATAGGGAGGGGGGTGGGGAAGGGGTAAGGAAAATTCTTCCTTCTCCTCTCTTCTCTTCCTTATCTGATAAGAGGAAGAGAAATGAAAAAAATAAAATAAAGCCAAAATTTATTGATAATCAATCTACAGTGTTTCAAAGAGGAGGACAGTAGAAGAGAGTCAAAGGTGTAAGATGTTGAAGATCAAAGAACAGGCAACAGGAAGAAGAGACTCTTTCCCCCTCCCTCCCTTCCAGACTTGGGCATCTTCCAGCTTTTGCAAGAAGAGTCTAGGTTTACGACTCAGCACTTAATATAAAACTCTTTGAACTTTAAGTAAAGAAACAGGCCCTATGAACTATGACAGTTTTCTTTAAGAGATTCTTTCCATTCCCCCAGTTTACCACATGGAATGTCCCCCTCCCCTCCCCTCTCCTCCCCTCCTCCCCGTGCTTTGCAAATTCTAACCTGCAAGACGGAAATGCATCTGAGCCGCAGACCCCTCTTTGAGTTCCCTCTCAGCAAAAAGTGGAAAATAGCACAGATCGTCCTTATTTAAAGCGTCCTTCTCTCCATCGACCACCAGTTGTCCTCTTTCTAGCTGAGAATGCACTCGTCTGAGCTCTTTGTTCTTTTCTTCAATGATTCCTAACGTTTTATTGAGTTCCTTTTTCAACAGATCTTTCATTTCAAAGGCCCTTCTTATGAGTTCCCGGCGTTCAGATTCAGACAAAAGAGAGTAAGACTTGACGATGCTGGGACCACGACTTAGAACTGTGTCATCTCTGGACAATCTGAAAGCAAATTTTTACCGGAATTCAGCAATCAATGATTTTTTCCTACAGCCGAAAGGCGACAAAAGAATTCTTTATAAACACAGATTAGTTTGATGACACACCTGCGGAACATTCAATAATGAACAAAAGACACGAGGTAATTAATTAAGTACAATAACTACTCCATAGTTAGTCTCAGGAAAAAAAAAAAGATTTTGTCTACAGTTTCAAGCGGGCTTATAAATCGTCGTACTGAACCGTCTTCTTTTGCACGGCCACCAGGGTTTTTATCAGAAGCGCAGTCGATTACAAATTTCACACCACTTTGAAGATGGCGTATCAATGTGTCAGCAACAATTGTTATGCAAATATCCTATTACCTTATCATTTACATTAGATGTATTTGTTCATCAAAAAAATAAATGATTTTGCTTTTAATAAGTGAAAAGGAATTATAAAGCGTCTCTCTTCATTAATCTTCTCCTCAAGGATACAAAAACACCCGAAAGTGTTTTCGCGTGACATCTGATAAATCACAACAAGCGCAGCTGGATGTTGCAAATTTAACCTGCTCCTAACCCAGGCTTTTGTTTTGTGTTTTATTAAAGGTTATTGCCTGCTCAATCTACTCACTGCGATCCCAAACTATCGCTACCCAAGTGCTCCTCGTGTGATTTTGACGCGAAGAATTTATCATCTTCGCCATTTTCTGCCTCACTGTCAGAATATTCCTCATCGAAAACTGGTTGGGTGCAATCAACATAATAATTCGGCAATTCCACCACCTCGCATTCCTCTTCTTCATGCTTTTCGTCTTTCTCGTTGTTATTTTCATCAGCTTCTAGCTTTCTTTCTGTCGGATGCCAGAATTCTGCGAAGTGGATCAGATCTACGTCGTTGCACTCTACACCATGCTGACAGACCGGAAGTTGCCTTTTTCCCGCGTCGGGCGCGCGTTCTGCTCGTTCATCGGCGGTGTTCCACTCAGAATCCGCAAATTCGTATGAAATATTAGATTTCTCATCAACCACGCCATTTTCCGTGGATTTGTTGTCCGTTTTGAGGCGCTTTACCTCGGGTTCCATTTCAGGCTGTGATCGTGGAGACAGCAAACCAAAGGAGTAATGAGTAAAATACTCAGTATTAATCACCAGGCTCCTAACAACATCACGGACAAGATGGCAGACGAGCTACATTGAGCTTTGAGAGACCCCAAAGTTTTGTTCAATATTTTTTAACCTTCCAATGTCTTTTCCCACTCCAACGTTTTCACATTTTAGTCAAGTTGATTACCAGCATGTCTACGAGCCTGCAGAAGACTCATTTCTCATGATGGATGCATTGGAAAAAGACGCAGATTTCTTGAGAGCACAAAGGCAATGTATTTTTACGTGATTCCAATGAAATCTCTCACTAACGCATCGGAACTTCATTTAAAACTAGATTGCATCCATTACTTTATACACAGGCCACTTTTATGTGTGGAGGTCGGCAGTGGCTCCGGTGCGCTGATAACCTTCTTGGCTTCCATTCTTGGACCCCTCACCCACTACATGTGAGTAGACATGTGAGTAATATGCACTGTACAAAGAATCACACTCCTGGGGAGAAGGGAAGGGGCGTTTAAGCGTCATATTCCTGGGAGGGGGGTCATAGGGTCGTTTCTAGTCCTGTAGAAAATTAGAAGAACAAATTGGGGAAAAACGGTGACACTTTATAGAATCATGTGTTTCTCCATGTAATACCCTCACCCCTCCCCTTGGTGCTTTTTGGGTTTAGTGGCTCCACCCAGGTGAAAATTAAATTTTGGCCTCATGCTCATGCTAATACTTTTAACTTTTATGTTTGGAAACCCATCACCTCTGATTTTCAAAGACCATGAGTAGTGTGGGTATAGATTTTTTATATGTAATAGCCATTTTTTTTCTTAAAATATTGCCTCTCCTCCTCCATTAATTTACTTATTCATTTGCGATATTTTGATAGGCTGGCCCAATTCAGCTTTAAAGGTGGTTAAACTGAATGTATAAACAATAACAAGGCCATTCCACGTCCAGAGCTATGTTCACCACTCTTTAACCAAGAAGACTAGTAAGAATGTCTGACCATTTACAGATGTCAATAATTTTAGCAAAAGCAGCACATTCTCTTTCGATCCTGAGTGCTGGTCCAGTTTGGGTCTCCAACCTTTCCTCGCTTCCTGAAGGTTATTCCTATTTTAGTGATGAAAAATGAACAAACAGGCCTAGCCTGTAATCAGTAATTTATTGGGGTACCTGATTTCTTTCAGAGCTACAGACATAAACCCCAAAGCAGCTCAATGCACGTCAAAGACAGCAAAACAGAATGGAGTGAATGTTTGTTGTGTTGTAACAGACTTGGTAAGTTCTGGTTCAATATGAAGGGAAAAAAGTTGTTAACAGAGGTTATAATCCTTAAACTCTTAAACACAAAGGCTCGCTATAAAGGGAGCCTTAGGTCCCACTGGACCATTTGTCAATCAACTGTCGTGTAATGTAGAACTCTTAGAGTCAAGTCAGCTTGAGCTACAGCTACTCCAAAGCAGTGAGCAACGGG